GTTTTGATTTATTGTAGAGATGAGGTCTCGCCAAGTTGCCCGGCGGGTCTCGAACCCGCGGGCTCAGGCCATCCACTCACCTCAGCCTCCCAAAGGTGCAGGATTACAGGCTGAGCCACCGAGCCCGGCTGTCAACACTGTTTTATAAAATACTGTTGAGTCTATCAGTTTTTTCATGATACATATATGAAATGCCTACTGTACGCCAAATACTATTTAACAGTTACAGTCTCTATCCTTAAGGAATTTACTATCAAATTGGGGACAAATATATAGACGGTTACAGTGCAGTCCAATAAAGGCAGATGTTTAAGGAGATATTCACAGGTTGCTCATTGCACTACACAGCCTGGGAGCAGGGTTAGGCTTCCTGGAAGAAGAGATGAATAGTAGTTAGCCACATTACACCTATAAGAAGATGTAAGAATGACATTTAATGCTATCAAAGTTTTAGACAATGTCAGTGGAGAAATAAATATCTTCCAGGAAATACTTGATTAAAAGAAGCTTTAGAACGCCCACCAGCAGTGTAGAAGTGTTCCCATTTCTCTGCATTTAAAAAAAAAGAAGCTTTAGAATATGTAGAGAGTCAGGCTATTACAGTGGCCTGAGAAACTAGCTACGCCTGTATTCTTTCCTCTCTACTTGCCTTGTATGAATTGAATCAATTACAGAAAACTAGCTGGAGAAAATTACCTGTTTTTTGTTTGTTTTTTTCTTTTTTTCTTCTGAGTGGGTGTCTCACTTTGTCTCCCAGCTGAAATACAGTGGCACACTCATGCTACTGCAGCCTCAACCTGCTGGGCTCAGAGACAAGGTCTTGCCATGTTGCCCAGGCTGGTCTCGAACATGTGGGCTCAGGTAATCCTCTCGCCTATGCCTCCTAAAGTGCTGGGATTACAGACTGCTCCTGGCTTTTTTTTTTTTTTGTCTTAAAAAGAAAGGGGGTCTCACTGTTTTGCCCAAGCTAGCCTCAAACTCCTGCTCTCAAGCTATGTTCCCACTTCAGCCTCCTGAGTAGCTGGGACTAACAGCATAAACCACTGTGTCTGGCTAAAATTTGAAAAATTTAACACCAGAAAATTCTAACTATACCATGAAAGTAGTCATTAAAAGTCATATTTTCAAAAACGAAGAACATGGAGAAATAATATTTGATATAATTTTAATGAAATTTTGTGAGCATTTATGAAATAAGATAGAACTTCATAAGATAAGGAGGATAAACTTAATTGTTTCCTTGAAAGAATTCAAACAATAGCTTTTAAAATAAGTGTAGAATCTTAATTTCAGAATGTGTAGATCTCTTGAAGTCTTATCAGATTAATTTAGTTGACCTCAAATATGTTCGTGTAAAGTGGAAATAACAACCCACTGACAAGGCTTATGAAACCACTTCATATTGGCTAATGAAGCTGTTGGGTGATACCAGGTATAATACTCTAAAACTGATGAATCTCACCTAATTTGATAACACTTTTATTGTTGGAGGAGTCAAAAGCAGGTTAATATAAAACTTAAAACATACCAAAGAAAATAAAAATAAGAAACTAATAGTAAAGACAGAAATTAACAGGAGATCATACAAGATTAATCTGAATATATATATAATAAAACTAAATGGAATTTAGGAGCAGCATATTTTAAAAAATGTAGGTTTCATACTGAATAATAAATCCACTATTAGGTCATTTCCTGAGCAGTGTTATAATTATACAGGCACAATCCTAATCGTGTGTCTTTTGAACTATTTTCAGAATATAGCACAGTTCTAGGTACACAATAAAAAATTGATTGAGATACGGGCAGTGTATTTCTATTTACAAATCATAAATTCCAGGCATATATATATATATAAGGGAAGAACATGAAATTTGAACATGGGAACACTTTTAAAATATATTATTAAGTTAAAAAATAAGTTATAAAATAATATATATAATGTAGCACCATTTTTAATTTTAAAAAATAGTTTTGTGCCTTAAAAAAGACAAGAAGACCATGTACTAAAATGTCATCAGAGATTATTTTGGGCAGTGGAATTAACATTTTTTTTCCTGATTGTCTCTATTTTTTGGTGCATATATATTATCACATTCGCAATCAGCAAATTTTTCACTTTCCTAATACTGGTTGTGGGTGAAAATTAAAATCCAAAGCTGGTTGCTGCAAATTTCTGCCATTAAGCACAAGTTAACTGGTCTTTTCTAAATTGTCATCTTTTTCATAATACAGCTGAAAGTTGCAGGCATCCAGTATTTGCCTCAGACACCACTCTGACTAGCATTCCAAGCTTTGTGTCTTTATTTGGGTTGCAGACGGAATATATTATTCAGAAGCAGAATTTTGCAAAGACATAAATTCACATCAGTGGCAACCAGGAACAGAATTTGGAATGATGTAAATTCACGTCAGTGATCGTGAATGAGTTATTGTAAGAAGAAAAAATAACTTTAATTTACTAAACTTATTTATTAAAAAAATTTATGAATTTTCTAGCGATAGAAATTATGTTACATGAAAAAGGCCAAATATAAAATATATGTAAAACATCATATGAAAAATCTGGTGGGAAATTCAGTAAAATGGTTATAGTAATTCTTTCAGATTGCCGGTATTGTAATTTATTTTCTTTGTTTTCCAAATTCTATGTTACAGCAGTTTATTTTTTAAGTCAGTAAATCAAAAGAAATTAAAACAATGTGTAATAATCTACATAAAGATGTTCATCTGACTTAAGATAATTTACTTATTGTATGGGAAGCTTTGCTCAGTCAGTAGAACAATGTGAATCATTGACATCACAGTCCTGGGCAGTACTGTCTAAGAACTTGATAAATGTTTAGTGGAGATGAATTATGCCATGAACAAGTAATTGCAGAAATTTAAAATTGAAGAGAATCTTAGTGGTGATTTAGTACTTTTTTTTTTTTATATAGCTGAGGATGTTGAGGTCCACTGACATTAACTTACCCAGTATCTTGTAGCTTGTTAGTGGTGAAGCAGACTTCAGGATGACTCTCCCAACTCTAGACTGGTCCTTTTTCACCCACTTCCCGAAAGTCAGGTAACTGGAAGATGTTCATGCCTGTAGGATCTAACAACTGTAAGAAAAACAAGGGAAGCTTCAGCCTTTGAAACACACTGAGAGGCTGAGGTATCACAGTAGTGGTCATCTTGATGAGCCATTGCTTTTGCCGGAGTCTGATTATTTCATTCTCACCAGTCATCTGGCAGTGGACTAGGTCAGCCTTCTCTACCCTGTGGCTTCTGTAAAATAGCACTTGTCTGACAGCTGCTCATTTTTGGTGCAGTGCAGTATTTTGATGTTTCTTTTTCAGCAAACTAAATAAATTGGAGCAATTGGAGGAACTGAACCTGAGTGGCAACAAGCTTAAAACGATTCCCACAACCATAGCAAACTGCAAAAGGCTGCACACCCTTGTCGCACACTCCAACAACATCAGCATTTTCCCAGAAATACTGCAGTTGCCTCAGATTCAGGTACTTCTGCTGGAATCATGTCCTCCCAGGGGAAATAGCCAGAGTGTGAATGAGATTATTTTCCTTTTATTAGAAAGAAGAAAGGAGTGTGAATGAGGTTGCTCTCTTCTCATAAGGAAGAAACAGTATTCTCTTCTCATATGCTGCATTTGGAATCAGAATGTACATAACCAATTCCTGGAAAGAAATTAAGTTCCCCTTTGAAGATATAGTAGGAGATTGAACATTTGGGAATAAAGAATTCACTGTCATGTGTTTTCTTTTGATTTCTCCATTTCTTCTTAGTTTGTGGACCTGAGTTGCAATGACTTGACAGAAATCTTGATTCCAGAGGCTCTGCCTGCTACATTACAAGACCTTGACCTGACTGGAAATACAAATCTCGTTCTGGAACACAAGACGCTGGACATATTTAGGTAGGAAAAAATTTGAAATTGAATCTACATGTGCTCTAAGGCCCACTAGACCCATGTGTGGGTCTTCTTTAGGACCCTGGAGATCTTGATTAATTAGCACAATAGATTGGATTGGCAATAAAGCCTCTAGGTTCTCTTCTTTGATTCAGTTATGAATAGATGTTCTATCTAGTAGTCAGTCTGTTTATATTAGGACTACTCCATGGCTCCCACCGAGCCACACATTGAATATTTTCACATGACAGACATAGGTCTTTTAGGTGGCACAGGTTACATAACAAATCTAAGAGACAGTACAACTTCATTCATTGTACTAAGATGTCATTGTGTCAAAATATTTAATAATAGACACTTAGCTAAAACTAAGAAATCTTTGTGCTTAGTTTTTAATGGAAACAGATGGCATTGATTGTAACAATAATGGGTTCCTATTTTTCCTACCCCTTTCCTTTGTTTCTTCTCTTTATTGGCCAGTAGTTTAGCCTACTACTTTCATTAATCTCTCTGAAAATGAATCTTGTCTAGCAACAGATTATTTTATAAAAATATATAATATTGTTGGAATGGTTTTTGTAAAATAGAGAGGAGTATGTGGTTTAATCTTTCTTTTCTTCACTTCCCACAGCCATATCACAACCCTCAAAATTGATCAGAAACCTTTGCCAACCACAGATTCTACTGTTACGTCAACCTTCTGGAGCCATGGACTGGCTGAGATGGCAGGGCAGAGAAATAAGTGAGTATGTTGGCTTTGGAGACTGAGAATGAAAAAAGGCAGCTCCTGGCATCTGTGAACTGGTCTGATGCTCACAGCTAGGTCATGTTCTGTTGCACACAAACAAATCACAGAATGGCAATGTCAGATAAGATCCCTGTGAAACGACATAGCAAGACAAAAACAAGATGAATGTGCGGTCCATACTCCCTTACATGGCTAAGATGTTTACCAATTACAGCTTTATCTTTCTGTTTGTCTTCCTTCCTCACAGATAAGATTTGAGATACCCAGCCATAGAATGGCCCCATTTTCTAACAGCACCCAATCTAGTATGGTGCTTTACTTCCTTAGTCCCTCCCTAAAATGACCCAACCAAAGCCCACATCCTATACTGGGTTCTTTCAGCACTTCTTACCTGTACAGCCCAGGGTTCCGTGGTGTGCATTCTCCTTTGCTATTCCCATTCCCTCTTCCTCCTACCCCTTTCCTTTGTCTCTTCTCTTTATTGGCCAGTCGTTCACCATACTACTTTCATTTTCATACTGCTTTTATTTTTCAGTCTTTCTGGAAATGAATCTTAGTCTATCAACAGATTATTTTATAAAAACACATTATTGTTGGGATACTTTTTGTAAAATACAGGAGTATGTGGTTTTATCTTTCCTTCCTTCACTTCCCATAGCCATAGCACAACCCTCATAATTGATCAGAAACCATTAACCACAGGTGTTCTCTGGTGGTTTTTGGCTGACAGGTCTTGACAAAACTAGTCCTTGACAAAACTAGTCCTTAATCACTACTAAGAGAAAGCATTTTGTCTTACCCTTGGCAATATTGCAGAGCTAATATGTACTATTCATGAATGTGGCTAAATTTCCCCTTTTCTTAGAACATCAGCTCTTTCATTCAGATGCTGCTTAATTATCATACCTAGGGATTTAAAAAGAGAGAGAGACAGGGTCCTGCTATGTTGCCCAGCCTGGTCTGGAACTCTTGACTTCAAGCAATCCTACCACCTCAACTTCCTAAAGTGCTGGGATTTTACAGGTGCGAGCCACTGTGCCAGGCTTCTAGGGACTTTTTTTTATATGCGTAGATTAAGATTTACTTCTAGTCTTCTCTACCTTCATTTAATACTTACTTTTTAAAGGACTGCTCCCTGAAGAATAATCTTTTACTGATAACTTTCTTTGATGATTGTCTTCCTCGTATTTCTCTTATAGGCTGTGTGTGTCTGCCCTTGCTATGGATAACTTTGCAGAGGGTGTCGGAGCTGTGTATGGCATGTTTGATGGGGACCGAAATGAGGAGCTCCCTCGCCTGCTCCAGTGTACAATGGCAGATGTGCTTTTGGAAGAAGTACAGCAGTCAACAAATGATACAGTTTTCATGGCTAACACCTTCTTGGTATCTCACAGGTAAGCAGGTGGGTTGAATAATCCCTAACTCAGTTCTACTTTTGGAAAATAAATCTCTCTAAACCAGAAGGTCAGAATCTAAATTATGAATATAGGATCAAGGAGAGATCTCACTTCTTCCTTGGTCCTCTCTATATCTGCACATTATGGGGACTTTGGTTCCTTAGGAGCTTGTGGATTCAGCTGTTTTCTCTGTTGAACCCAAAGTGCTGAGGATCTGGGAAGCCTAGAATTTATGTGCAAAAGTTTGTGTGTGTGTGTGTGTGTGTGTGTGTGTATATGTGTGTGTGTGTGTGTGTGTGTGTGTGTGGTTATACATTTGGAGGAGGAAGGTGGTGAGCTTTCCTAAGATTGTCCAAGGAATCAGTGACTTAAAAAGGTTAAGAAGTACTCATCAGATTCATATGTCTGGGGATTAACAGCCTTTGGCAGTGTTGCAAAGCTAATATGTATTGTCTATGAATGTGGCTGAATTTCCCCTTTCCTTAGGACTTCAGCTATTTCACATGCTGCTTTTTTTTGAGTCAGAATCTGACTCTGTCATCCAGGCTGGAGTGCAGTGGCACACTCACAACCACTGCAGCCTTGACCTGCTGGGCTCAGACGATCTTTCCACCTCAGCCTTCTGAGTAGCTGGAACCACAGGCGCATGCCACCACACTTAGCTAATTTTTTTTTTATCGTAAAGATGAGGTCTTGCCAAGTTGCCCAGGTTGATCTTAAACCCCTGAACTCAGGCATTCCTCTTGCCTCCATCTCCCAAAAAGGTGCTAGGATTACAGGTGTGAACCACCACGCCTGACCACAGATGCTGCTTAATTATCCTATCTAGGGGCATTTTTATGTGTAGATTAAGATTTACTGCTAGTCTTCTCCACTGTCAGTTAATACTTTTTAAAAGATTGCTCCCTGAAGAATAATCTGATAGGGTTATGTCCTGATAAACCCATTGTAAGTTGAAAATATTGTAAGTCGAAAATGCATTTAATTCACCTAACCTACTGAGGGTCATAGCTCAGCCCAGCCTATCTTAAATGTCCTCAGAACATTTACATTAGCCCATGGTTGGGCAGAATCATCTGACATCACAGTGCACTGTAGAGTATTGGTTGTTTACCCTTGTGATCTAGTGGTGACTGGGATCTGTGATGCTGCTGCTGCTGATCATCACGAGAGAGTATTGTACTGCATATCTTAGCCTGAGAAAAGATCAAAGTACGGTTTCTACTAACTGCGTACAGTATTGCTTTTGCATTGTTGTGAAATGGAAAAATTGTTAAGTTGAACCATTGTAAGTCGAGGACCTCCTATATAACCAAACTGAAGTGGGAGTATCTTGTACGTCAGTAGGTCTGCATAAATGATATGAACAACTGAGGGGTTGTAAACCTGTATAAATGAGGCTGAGATGGAACAGCCTGGAGCTTGAGCTGTTGTATCTGTAACTGTAACACAAAACACAGTTTTGGAAAAGGAGTTTATTTTTCCATAGAATTGAGCAAAATAGACTTGGCAAAATAAAGGGCTTGGGAAAGGGAACTCAATTTATGCAGCACCTTTCAAGAGCCAGGCAGTGTACCAAGTATTGCTCATACTATATTTTAAGTTTTCAAAACAAGCCAAACTGGTAGGTATTTTATCAGATAAATTTCTTAGAGAAATAACTTGCTGAGGATCTATAGCCAGGAATTGGCAGAGCTGGAATTTGAAACGAGATCTTTCTGATCATGTCTGCTCCTTGTTAGCATTGTATACCAAGTGCAGGCATGTGAATGCCCTGTATATGGAGAGATACAAGGAGAATCATGGTACTTCCTTCAAGGAACTTAAAACCTAAGTGAGTAGTTCTCAAAGTGGTGTTCTAGGACCAGCAGCCTCAGCGTTACCAGAGCCTTGTTAGAAACAGTTTATTGGGCCAGCCCATTACCCAAGGAATCAGAAGCTTTGTGGGTGGGACCCAGTGGACTCGTCTGACAAACCCACCAGGTGATTTTGATATGCTAAAGTTTGAGAACCTCTGAATTAGGAAGTCTGTGATCAGACACAAATGTAGTAGAGAAACATGCACTTTCATTGTCGTCTCAGTTATCTCCTCTGCTTTGTAAAATCTGTTTTCTCAGCTGCGAGTGGAAGGCAAACTCTTCTACCACCATCATCCATAGGAAGAGCTAGCATTCAAGTTAATGATCACATGGCGGAAAAAAAGGAAGGAACAGATGTGAAGGACCATCACTGTCTTCTGAAATTAGCTACCATGTCTTCATTTTCTTTTCTTTCTAAACAGGAAATTAGGAATGGCTGGCCAGAAGCTGGGCTCCTCTGCTCTCCTGTGCTACATCCGCCCTGACACTGCTGACTCAGCAAGTAGTTTTAGCTTGACTGTGGCAAATGTTGGTACATGCCAAGCAGTCCTGTGCCGAAGTGGGAAGCCAGTGCCCCTTTCTAAAGTCTTCAGCCTGGAGCAGGACCCAGAGGAGGCACAAAGAGTGAAGGACCAAAAAGCCATCATCACAGAGGTGTGTCTTGCTCTCTGCCAGTCACTTCTGCTCCCCAAATCTAGTAAAAGCTGCTTTGCATAGAGGTGATGAAGGTCTATTTTCTTCCCTTTCATGCCTTGTAAATTGTATCCAATCCAGAGAAAAGTTACATTCAGGTTGTTTCAGTGACTAAAAAAATCTACTAAGCAGTTAGTGATTAGCAAAAAGAAAAAGTAAAATAAGTTAGAAATGAAAAATTCTAATTTGTGATCCTTGAAATGCATAGTTAGCATGTAAAATGAATTTGTTTTTGAGTTGGGGTCTCACTCTGTCACTGGCATGCAGTGGCACAATTATAGCTCACCACAGCCTCAACCTCCTAGGCTCAGAGCAACCTTCCCACCTTAGCCTCCTGAGTAGCTGGAATTGCAGGCAAGTGACACCACACCCGATTAATTTTTGATTTTTTTTTGTAGAGACAAGGTCTTGCTACATTGCGCAGCTGGTCTCAAATTCTTGTCTTAGCCTCCCAAAGTGCTGGTGATTACAGGTGTGAGCCACTGTGCCTGGCCTAAGATGAATTTTAAATGTTCCCCTTAATTAATTTCCAACTCATCTGGTTTATTATTTCAAAAAGAAGAGTTCTATAGTTTGACAGTGGCATTCTAAAATGCAGCATTTTCAGTATTTTCCTGGTTTATACTGTATATGGGTTAATATTATGCTCTGGTGTTCTTTTTTTATAATGAAGCATTCATATTTCTACTATTTTATAGCTTTTCTTCTTTCCAGAAATTAGCATAATGTCTTCGCTTTCCAAAAAATGTTAGCCAGTTATGTGTGAACATTATTTATTGCAAAGCAGAATTCTGTTCAGATCTTTGCCCATTTTAAATTGGATTGTTTGTTTCTTCATTATTGAGTTTTAAGTGTTCTTCATATATTTTGAAAACAAGTCCTTTGTCAGATATGTATTTTGTAAATATTTTCATCCAGTTTGGGCTTGTCTTTCTGTTCTTTTTTTTTTTTTTTTTGAGTTGGAGTCTCACTCTGTCGCCCAGACTGGAGTGCAGTGGCTGCTCCCGGCCACTGCAGCCTTGACCTGCTGGGCTCCGGTGATCCTTCTGTCCCAGCCTTCCAAGTATCCGGAACTACAGGCACGCGCTACCATGCCTGGCTAATTTTTGATTTATTGTAGAGATGAGGTCTCGCCAAGTTGCCCAGGTGGGTCTTGAACCCGCAGGCTCAGGCAGTCCACTCACCTCGGACTCGCAAAGTGCTGGCATTACAGGCTGAGCCACCCTGCCCGGCCAGTCTTTTTGTTCTTTTAACAGTGTTTTTTTTCAGAGAAGAAGTTTTTAATTTTAATGAAGGCCCACTTGTCATTTTTTTCCATGGGTCATGCTTTTGCTGTTGCTCATCACCAAACCCAAGGTTACCTAGATTTTCTTCTATTTTATCTTCTAGAAGTTAATAGTTTTTTATGTTTCATATTTTGGTCTGTGATCCATTTTGAGTTAATTTTTGTGAAAAATATAAGTTCTGTGTCTAGATTCGTGTTTTTGCATGTGGATATTCAGTTGTTCTGGCACCGTTTGTTGAAAAAACTGTTTTTTCTTTATTGTCTTTGCTCCATTGTCAAAGATCAGACCATATTTATGTGGGTCTATTTCTGGGCTCTCTGTTTTGTCAGACTTCTATCCATCTTACATTCCATCTAAGAAAACACAAAACCAAAAAGTGTCATTATAATGTAGTTGATAAATATTAGAATTCTGGAAGTATGAGATATTAGTCTTAGGAAGGTCAGTTAAAATGAATAAAGCATAATATCTTAAATTTATTTATTTATTTGTTTGTTTGTTTTTTAGAGGTGGGGTGTTACTCTGTTGCTCAAGCTGTATTTGAACTTCCAGGCTCAAGCAATCCTCCAGCCTCAGCCTCCTGCGTAGCTGGGACTATAGGCACACACTACTATTTTTTACATAGTTAAGATAATATTGTTTAGATTTTTCTTAGAGGGTCCTAGAAAGTTGGAAATTTTTAAATAAATGTTATTTTAACCACAAACATTTATCGTTTGTCTATTATTTGCCAAGCACCATACCTTTATTATTTAATCTTAACAATAACACTAATGAAGGAAGTGCTTTTATTTCCACCTTACAGATGAAGAAACTAAAGTTTAGTGCTTATAACAAATTCTGGCAAATAAGAAGCTCAGAGAATGACTGCAGCTGTGAACTTAATTTTCTGAGTTTTTCAGAGTTGCTTTGTTTTTGTTTTTTTCTTGACAAGAAATCAGTACAAAGTGTCTGGCATATAAATATTTTCAAACAGCAAGCAGGGTTATTCCTTTTCCTCTAAGTTTCGATACATGGATTCTGATTTGATCTGCTGTTTTTTTCTTGGTACAATCCTTACAGAATAGGTAAATTATGCTACAGATTTCAGACTCTCCTTTTTTAGACTGAATAACCTTAGAGATTATTTGATGCTTTTGAAAAAAATTTTGAATATGTGGGGTATTTGATACTTTTACTACCAAGATTCTCTTAGCCAATTGATATCTTTTCAGCCCCAACTGTACCTTTAAATGAGAAATCATTTTTAGTGACCCATCTTGGTTTTGGCTTCTCTGAGAGTACTAGTGATAGAGAATTAATGAGTTTTGTTTATTGTTTTTCTATTTAAACACATGCTGAGGCCTACAAGACTACTTAGAATTATACTAGCCCATAGGAAAAACTATATAACATATAAATTCTGTTTTGTTATAGATCCCTAGCACTGTGATTTTAAAAGATAAAAGTTTGCTTATTATTGTTTATTGTTTCTCAGAATTCTCGTTCTGCTTGTCCCTAGGACAACAAAGTAAATGGGGTAACCTGCTGTACCCGGATGCTGGGTTGTACATACCTCTACCCTTGGATCCTCCCCAAGTCCCACATATCTTCCACTCCACTGACTATTCAAGATGAGTTGCTGATTCTGGGAAACAAAGCATTGTGGGAACACCTGTCCTATACAGAAGCTGTCAGTGCAGTGCGTCATGTGCAAGACCCATTAGCAGCTGCCAAGAAGCTGTGCACATTAGCCCAGAGCTATGGCTGTCAGGATAATGTAGGGGCAATGGTGGTTTATTTGAACATTGGTGAAGAAGGCTGCACCTGCGAAATGAATGGGCTCACCCTCCCAGGTCCTGTGGGATTTGCTTCAACCACCACCATCAAGGATGCCCCAAAGCCAACCACTCCATCCTCTAGCAGTGGGATTGCCTCTGAGTTCAGCAGTGAGATGTCCACCTCAGAGGTGAGCAGTGAAGTGGGGTCCACTGCTTCTGATGAGCATAATGCTGGGAGCCTGGATACTGCCTTGCTTCCCAGGCCAGAGCGGCGCTGCAGCCTCCATCCAGCACCCACCTCTGGGGTGTTTCAGCGCCAGCCTTCTTGTGCTACCTTCTCCAGTAATCAGTCTGACAATGGCCTGGACAGTGATGATGATCAGCCTGTTGAGGGGGTCATAACCAATGGCAGCAAGGTGGAGGTAGAAGTAGACATTCACTGCTGCAGAGGGAGAGATCTCGAGAGCTCACCCCCTCTTAGAGAGACTCCTACCCCGTGTCCTGAGGAACATACTCGAGGGTTGTATTTTGGTATTCGAAGACAGAACAGTGTAAATAGCGGTATACTTCTGCCAATGAACAAGGACAAGATGGAGTTACAGAAGTCTCCCTCCACCTCCTGTCTGTATGGAAAGAAACTCTCCAATGGCTCAATCGTGCCCCTAGAAGACAGCTTGAACCTCATTGAAGTGGCCACAGAAGCACCCAAGAGGAAAACTGGCTATTTTGCTGCCCCTACTCAGATGGAACCAGAGGATCAATTTGTTGTACCTCGTGACCTGGAAGAAGAAGTGAAGGAGCAAATGAAACAGCACCAGGAAAGCAGGCTTGAGCACGAGCCCAACGAAGAGGATCGGACCGAGCCCCCAGAGGAGTTTGACACAGCGCTGTGACTGCCCCGCAGGGGACACAGTGTGAGAGGAGGCTGTACAGTGTTGGGGTAGGGACCCTGCCAGGGGCATTTGCCTCTACATTTCTAAACCATAGATGAGTGAGGTAGAACTCGGAGCCAAAAAGGGTGAGCGCTATCAGGGTCTGGCTCTGGATAAGCTAGTAGCCACCATCAGTGTTAAGTTTCACATTTAACCTGCGTTGGAATTCCCAGAGTTATTGGGAAGAAAGCAGCTGTTCTATATCAGTCCTACCACCTGCCATTAACCCTTTCTCTCCTAGGATCATTCTGAGAATTTGCCTGCCTGGGCAGGAAAGGGACTATTTCTGTGGAGGAAATAATTGAAGATTGATTCCCTTTACTAATTGCTGCTGGTGGATCTCTGTGACAGAGAAATCACTTTATCTCCCAGACTAACTAATGGGGTGTGATGTGACTAGTCACATGGCTTTTCATTCTTCTCTACGAGAATACAGCCTATCAAAATAATGTCTATTGGAAATGTAGAACCAATCAAACATATACTTTATGTGTGTAATGTAATGAGAGCACTTTCCATTGACTGTGAACTTTTTATTTTTGAATCTGCACTCGAGCCAATCTTCTTAGAGGCAGCCTGGCACCTTTGTCCGTAGGTAGAGAGCTATTGGGTGTTAGCGTCTTCTCTGAGCGTTCTAGGAAGGACCCTGGGAAATTGATTTAAGTGTTGGATGTTAGACTGTGAAAGCTCCTGAGGAACTTAGGGTAGTAGGATCTTTTGGGGATGAAAACGGAGGAGTGAGGACTAAAATTACTTTGCCCCCAAATCAGAAAAAGAGAATTACCCCTTACACCTGCTAGGAATTTTCCAGCAGATGACAAGGGAGGCATTTGGGGATTGGCCTCTTTCCCTAACATGTGGTGGTTGGCAGTCAGCTTCCTAATGGGGAAAGCCAAGACTGACACTGCTCGCATCCACGTAACCTTGAGTTATGGCTGATGACTGAAACAGAATGAGGCCAATGAAAACAGCTGGGTAGATGGAGCTCACAGATTAGACTTGTTCCTTCTCTTATGCTAGAGCAAAGGGATTGTTTTCTAGAATGCTGGAAGTGAGTCGAGGGGGCTTACCTTTTGAATGTTGAACAGTGTACTCTTCTGAAAACTGCTTATTCACCTCATGTGATTTCAGATTACTGGGCTCAAATACGAAAGACACTTAATTGAGAAATTCTTAATCTTACAGAAAACTTGTACTTTTTTGCACATTCCATGTAACCCTAGAAAATTGCAGTTCCTTCCATATTTCTATTACTTTTTCCATTAAAAGATTTACTTAGAAAAATTAATTCCTACAAAATTTTGGCATTGCTTGATTTTATGCAATGGGGAACGTGCTTTGAATTTTTGGAACACTTTCACAATTAAGAAGAAATTAGTGGATCCATTTTAGATTTTCTTTCATTGGAAACAAAATCTTAGGGGAGGAATATATATATACACACACACACACACATATACATATATATGTGTGTGTGTGTGTGTGTGTGTGTGTGTGTGTGTGTATAAAATCTTTGTTTCATTTTTGGAAATTTTTCAGAGCAATAGCTGAAAGCCAGATAACCTGTTTGCAAATAGTTATGTGTCTTCTCAGAGGCCCCATGCCCATGTACATGTTTCAATGGGGTATACTCTTGAGGGATTTGGTACCACTCCATTGGCTGTCTAATGTTCTTCAACCACTCAAGAATCTGAACTTAAGTCCCCAAATTATCAGGAACACTTGACTTCCCTGTGTCAAACTACTGGTCAACTATTGAAAAATTTTAGAACTCAGGTCTTTGATTTGAAGTGGGGAACATAGTAGCTCAAACAAAGTTTAGGTACTGTTAGAACGATGGGAACAATAGTGTGTTGCCACCTTATTTTTATATGGAAAAAATTTTTAAGATGAAGAAAAAAATGAAAAGAAAAAAACCCATGATGCTAGGGATGGGTGATACAAAAACATCTCCTTACTCAGAGAGCAGAATCTTTGGACTGTAGAATAGTGATGTTGTCTAAAAATGAGAGTTATTTTGGGAATATAACACTTTAATAGTATAGTATTATAAAAACTATTCTTTACCTGTGAACCCCTTTCTTGTCTTCTGTTTACCACCCTACTCGTTGGAACCACCTCAAAACCCAGTTCTGAAATGACCTTACCAAAAGTAATGTATTTACTTTTTAGTCAGCAGAACTTTGAAATTCCAAATATTCTTTTATGTGGTAGAGTTATTTTTAAGAACCATTAGGTTGTGTTGAAAATCTTTATATAGACTATACCAAAACTGATTTTTGTTTTTTGCTGTCTCCTTTAATTCATGCCGTTCTGCGGTTGCTCTGTATTAAAACAGAGGGTAAAGCAACCATAACCCGTTACCAAAAATATATAAAATTATTTTAACTATGTGGTAATTGATGGACATTGTGTTATGTGAATAGGCTGTCAGTCAGTGAAATTCAGTCATCTGAATGCAGTCTTCTTCCCAGGACTTTACCCAGAGGATGTGTTCTCCAGGTGGGCAGAGTACAGTTGATCTCTAGCACAGAGATTCTGGCCTCTGCATGATTCTCAGGTCTCTGTGTGTACCTCCCATTTGATAAAGAAGTTTAAGAGAATTTTTGAAGAACACTCCTGATTATGGGAACAGTTTAGGAGTTCCATGGAAGAAACAAAAATACATGTGTTTTGGCAGCCATGCCATTCTTATTTTTATCCAAATGGATTGGAAATATATATTTGAAATGTTGAATGTTGGTATGACATAAAGCTACACTGCTAATATAGAGCCAAGTCATTGAATTACCACTCCGGATACAAGAGAGGGCTTTATTATACTACTGTAGGGTATATGTGTGCAATAAGGTGATGAATTCATTTACTTGTGTACAGAAGAGCCAACAGGAGCAGCTCGGTAATCACTGGGTGCTATTACAATTGCTTGTAGTGAGGCTATTTTCCAGGAGATGGAACAAGTCAGGTTTGGCCAATCTACTGAATATCAAATGATGCTCTTCTTTCCATGTAGACCTTCAGCAAAAGCAGGTACTTGGAAGCCACAGGCTCACCTTCTTTATCTGTTCAATAATTACTAATGAAGAGACCTTCATAAGGGAGCACTTGACTATTATCAATAAATGTACCAATTATTAAATAATTAGTCTCTAAGCCATTCAGTGATGTCAGCAGCATCACCGTAGAACTGTCTTGCGTCACTTTTACTTCCCTGTGGGTGGAGGCTTTCGGACTCTGCAATCATGGAAACAAGTTAATCTTTCTCTCCAGTTAGTGATTGAGAAAAGCAGCTACAGTAAATCCTGCTGTTTCCCTCATTTGGTGATCCGTCAACCACATATAAACTCCTTGTATTCTAAATTTCATGCACTTCTCCCAGATGCTATAGGGTTTTCTCTCACTGTTGCCAATGGATGTCATCCAGACAGTGGGCTCATATCTTATGGTTTTGTGCAATCATTGTCGTATTGTAGTCCTAAGACTCATTATAGTGTATTTTTGATATTTTTGAAATGTGTTAAATTTTTTAATTCAATAATATGAGCCAGAGCATGTTGCAGCAAATCTATTGTTTGTAAAAAAAAAAATAACAACAATAATAAACACAATAAAATGGATTATCTTTTTCATGGCTTTGTTTTAAAATGAAATTGTTATTTTATAAATATTTTAGCATGAAGCTATAATTTTCCTCTCCTAACTTATATGTAGAATTAGGTTCTTAACCAAAAGCACCTCTGGGATTTTTCTGCTTTTCCTTGCTCTAAGGGAAACTATGCAAAAACAAACACATAAAACCACATTCCATGAGACTCTACAAAGCTATGAGTTAATGCAAGAATAAATACTTTTGATCATCTTTTCAGCTTAAATAGCAATAAATATTTTTATTTTGAGAAACAAATTCTGACTTGGTTTATATGTTTGAAGAAATCTCAAGGATAGGAAACACAGTCCTTATTTACATGCAGGTTATTAACTGACTAGAGGAAATTCAACTGTAAATAATCTATAGCTCCTCTTAAGTAAATTATAGAGCTGATAGTGACAGACAGGCTGAGGAGAAACTGGCCATCATGTTTTTCATAAGGATGGCTTTGATATGAGAAGCTTTAGACGTAGTAGTGAGTGTTGGCTCACAAGACACAATGCAATTAAGCCTCTTAATTGCTCCCTTTCTCATTGGGTGTCTTCCATAATTTCTGCGTTTGCAACCAAGATTAGCTACCTTTTCACTTTATTTATTTATTTGGGAGGAGACAGGGTCTCACTCTGTCATCCAGGCTGGAGTGTAGTGATGTGATCATAGCTTACTGCAGTCTTGAACTCTTATGCTCAAGGGATTCTCCCATCCCAGATTCCTGAGTAGCTGGGAGTACAGGTGTGACCCATCATGCCCTGCTACTTCTCATTTTAAATAAAGTCAACTTGAAGAAGTTCTTTTCATCTAGCATAACGAACATTTTAAACATTTGTTTATTGAACTCCTTCAACATGCTTTACCTCATTTCCACAAGACACACGCCTCCGTGGGCCAGGGTGGCAGAAAAGAAATTCTCTGAGTATATGCTCTGCATAATGCAATATTGCCCTGCTACACCAAAGGCCACAAGAGTGAATACTCAGACCATGTTCCATTGTGACTCAGTGGGGTCTGAGTTTTGCATCTGTTGTTAAAGGTTTTGCAACTGTAGGCAAGCTGCTTAGCTTCTCTAAGGCTGTTAGATGGAAGTAATATCTGTCATCAGTGGTGAACCTAATTAAATGAGATGGTGCAAACAAAATGCTGTTTCAGCACAATATCCTCCATACTTGGCACGTAGTGAGTATTCAGTGAAATATGAATGCTTGGGTAAACTGCCTAACCTCAAGAACCTTGTTTCCTTATCTGTAAAAGTGTAAATAACACATCTTGGTCTGCCTAACTGATCAGTGGCAGTGAATAAGAAATTTTGCTAAAGCATTTTGAACATAAAACTGTACAGACCTGAGGGTGTTGTTAATAGTCATGGATGCTCCCATCACTCTCAGGAGCAATATCTGAGCTGGGCCTGGGCACAAAGTTGGGGCCACATAGACCAAAGTCCCCATTTTCTCAACCACAAGACCCAGATGTGGGCAAAGATTGAATAGGGACATGTTTCAATGAATAAATGCTAGGTGAGAATAGTTGGGGGGAGGTGCAGAAGAGTTGGGGAGGGTGGAGAGTGGGTTGATTTTTGCTTATCTACCACTCTGCAAATTGTGTGGGACTCCAGCCACAGCCTTGGGCTAAGGGTGATGGAGTGGAAGCATTTTTCTGTGGCACCATGGACTTTTAATTCTAACCTAGCAATGTAGGTTTCCAGATAATTATTTCCCTCCAAACTTTATAAAACCATAATCTAGATATTTTCCTATTTCTGTAAGAGGTTTAATTTTGATCCTTCATCTTAGATAGGGTCCAAAAGAATTAGCTATTAAAAAAGGAAGAGGACAACTGGAAACAATATGGAACAAGAATGTGTATCTTTCTAGTTATATCTGATATATTTGAGAATAGTTGTAAAGTGCAAGAACAGGTATAAAACACTTCAAGTTAAAATTACTGAAATAATTTAATTTTTAATTTGTTTTAGTTGGTGTCTCACTCTATTACCCAGGCTGGGGTGCAGTGGCATGCTCACAGCCACCCAGCCTTGACCTGCTGAGCTCAGGTGATCCTTCTGCCTCAAGCCTTACAAGTAGCTGGAATTACAGGCATGCACCACCAGCCCAGCTAATTTTTTTTTTTATTATAGAGTTGAGATCTCATCAAGTTGCCAGGCTGGTCTCGAACCCGTGGGCTCAGGCAATCCTCTCACCTCGGCTTCCCAAAGTGCTGGGATTATAGGCATGAGCCACCACACCTGGCCTAAGAATTTTATTTTTAAGGTTCACAGTTAGTGATCCGTTACATTACACAAACAGTTCAGGATAATGAGAGATGACTACCTTTGAAGGCCTACTTTGAAGGGCACTGTCAGGGAACACAGAAATGAAAAAGTCGCCAAAAAGCTGTTATAGTCAAGTAAATTAAGTGCTTTATCTTTTTTTTTTTTTGAGTTGGGGTCTCTGTTGTGCAAGCTGGAATACAATGGCACAATCATGGCTCACCGCAGCCCCTACCTCCTGGATTCAGGTGATCCTTCCGCTTCAGCCTCCTGAGTGGCTGGGACTACAGGCTTGTGCCTGGCTAATTTTTTTTATTTTTTTGTGGAGACAAGGACTCACTATGTGTGCCCAGGCTGGTCTTGAACTCCTGGGCTCAAGCAACCCCCCTCCTTGGCTTCCCAAAGTGCTGGGATTACAGGTGTGAGCCACCATGCCCAGCATTGCTTATGCTTTGAAATTAATTGAATAACATGTATAAGAAGTTTAAACTATTTGGAAACCTCATGTTTAAAATAAAATATTTCAGGAAAGTGAATTCCAATGGAATATTTTGCCACAAAAAGAATCTAAGTTGGAATAGCTAGCAGAAAGCATTTTCTTGGGCCCTAAGGCAGGAATTCCAAGGAGCAACATGCTTGCTACCAGCATCTCTTTTCATTTATTTGGAATCCAACCTCCTGTCTTACACCTCCTGTCACGGGTGTAAGAAGACTGCTTGGGACTCATGCAGTTGTGACATACTGCTGTGGCACCTCCTCTATGGGCAGAATACTTTCCCTCTAGGAGAGAGTGTAAGAATGTAATTACTCAGAATTAAATCACACAGTTGCTTTAGAATCATTCCCCCAGGATCAAATGTGGGGCAGGGAGCAGAGCTGACATGCTTTTTTTTAAATTACTTTAAATAGTTATGACAGGTAAGATATTTCTTTTTTTTTGTGAGTTGGAGTTTCACTCTGTCACTAAGGCTGGAGTGCAGTGGCACGCTCACGGCCACTCCAGCGTCGACCTGCTGGGCTCCAGCGATCCTTCCGCCTCAGCCTTCCAAGTAGCTGGAAAGACAGGAGCATGCTACCATGACTGGCTAATTTTCTATTTATTGTAGAAACTAGATCTTGCCAAGTTGCCTGGGTTGGTCGCGAATGCATGGGCTCAGGCAATCCACTCACTTTGGTCTTCCAAAGTGCTGGGTTTTAGGCTGAGCCACTGAGCCTGGCCTTGCAAGATATTTCTAATGTAACACAGGCCGGCTACTCTCTGACTTGTAGTTTTCATCTTTGAGAATTTCTCTGGCTAGTTAGCTATGACTACTATTAGCTTATCGTATGGTGAGAGAGCCATACTGTTAGGGGTACCTAGACTTCTGATGCTGCTCTTTATAGTAAAGGTGGAAATTTTTCTTTTTTTTTGAGCCCTCATTGAGTCAGTCAACAAAGACTGGTCTCCTTTTACAATAGAAAAATGAGTCCATTATTTAACTTTGCCTTGGTCCAGAGGGAGCATTTGTAAAAGCAAGTATGTGAAAGCCACAGTTGTCTAATGTGTGACTTTAAAGGACCCATCTTTTTGACGGTTTCAGAAGGTTCCAGAAGATCTCAGAGCGTCCCAGACCACAGGTACTCTGGTACGTCATTGTAGTTTCGGTGCTGCTCTCTGCTGTCTTTGTAGTGTTTCTGTTGTCGGTAGCTCCGCAAGGCCAGCACCACGCTGGTACCATACGTGATCACCAGAAGACAAGCAAAGGTGGCCGCTGCTCCATCAGTGCCTGCCAGCTGGCAGTTCATCCAGGTGAGACCCTTGCGGGCATAGAGCCTCTCTCTTCTTTTGCAGATGTCGGAGGAATTGATCCACAGAGCTACGTGGAGGTAAACACCAATGCCTATGCAGTAGCCCACTGCCGCCAGGAGGCTGAAGGTGGCCTCTATGAGGAGCCACTTCTCTGGCAGTTTTGTTAGACTCTTGGCTCCTTGGAGTAAGACGCCCATGGTGAGGACACCCAGCCCCAGAGAAACAGCCACACCGCTGTATATCAGGGGTGCCCGGAGGACTGTGTATTGCTGATCCATTTGCCGAACCTGCTCCAGCTCAGTGCCCTCAAATGGTGAGTAATAGTTGTTCCCAAAGCCGCCGCCACTGGCAAAACTGGCACTGAATCCAGCAAGGACAAAGTAGGAGGCCACGATGCACATGAGGACCATCCCATTCAAGATCACCTCCACTATCTGTACCACACCTAGAGAAGAGAGATTCGAATTTAACACAGACACTACTCATCCAGGTCAAACCAAAGAAACACCACTGGTGATGTGATTTGAAGAACATGGTTGGATCCAACAAAAACATTTTTTTGTTTTTTTGTTTTTGTTTTGAATACTTGTTTGAATAATCCAAATGCTGCTCTGGAAACATTTTTGACAATTTCTTTAAAAACTAAGCATACTCTTAAAGCCATGTAGGGCCGGGTACGGTGGCTCACGCCTATAATCCCAGTACTTTGGGAGGACAAGGTGAGAGGATTGCCTGAGCTCATGGGTTTGAGAACAGCCTGAGCAACTTGGCAAGACCCCATCTCTACAATAAATCAAAAAATTAGTCGGGTGTGGTGGTGCGTGCCTGTCATTCTAGTTACTTGGAAGGCTGAGGCAAATGTGGATCACCTGAGCCCAGCAGGTCGAAGCTGCGGTGGCTGTCAGTGTGCCACTGCACTCCAGCCTGGGTGACAGAGTGAGACTCCAACTAAAAAGAAAAAAAGCCTTGTAGCCCTGCAACTGTACCCCTGGGCATTGGTCCTAGAAAAGTAAACACTTATGTCCACATAGAAACATGTATGTGAATATTTGTCATGGTTTTATTTGTAATAGCTGAATATTGGAAACAACCCAAAAGTCCTTCAGTGGATGAAAGGTTAAACAAATTGGTACACCCATACCATGGAAAACTCTACTCAGCAATACAAAGGAGTGAACTACTGAGAGCTGCAACAGCTTGGATGGATCTTCAGGAAATGATGATGAGTGAAAAAGAAACCACTTTTAGCCGGGCTCGGTGGCTCAGCCTGTAATCCCAGCACTTTGGGAGGCTGAGGTGAGTGGACTGCCTGAACCCGTGGGTTCGAGACCCACCTGGGCAACTTGGCAAGACCTCCTCTCTACAATAAACCAAAAATTAGCCAGGCATGGTAGTGTGCGCCTGTAGTTCCAGCTACTTGGAAGGCTGAGTGGAAGGAGCCCAGCAGGTCGAGGCTACGGTGGCTGAGAGCGGCCACTGCACTCCAGTCTGGGTGACGGAGTGAGACTCCCACTCAAAAAAAACACACACAAAAAAGAAAAAGAAACCACTTTTAAAATTTTGGTGCGATATGATTCACTAACAGTCTCAAAGGACACAATGATAGAGATGCAGCACAGATCCACGGATCACTGGAGGATAGGGTTGAGTGGGGATGCAGGATGGAAAGGGAAGGGTGTGACTAGGAAGGTTTAGCACAAGGGATGTCTGCAATGACTGAGCAGTCTTGGATTTGGTTGTGCTGCTCATACAAGTCTGCAGGAGATAAAACTATACAGAACAACACACACACACACACACACACACACACACACAAATAAATGAGTGCAGGTGAAACTGATGAAATCTAAATAAGCTCTGTAGATCGTCACTGTCCTTATTGTACCATCATGATGCAAGATATTATCGTTAGAGAAAATTGGGCTAAGGGTACATGGGGACTTCTTGTGAATCTATATTTCAAATTTAAAAGTTTCTATAGGCCAGGCACGGTGGCTCAAGCCTGTAATCCCAGCACTTTGGGAGGCCGAGGCGAGAGGATTGCGAATCCAGGGGTTCAAGACCAGCTTGGTCAACTTGGTAAGACCTTGTCTCCACAATAAATTAAAAAAATAAGTTTCTATAGAATGACATAAAGTATAAGTTGAGAAATTCCACTCACATCCCCTCTGTTCCCTAACCCCCACCACTTTCATTGGTTTCTAATACAACTTTCCAGTGTTCCTTTATGCAAATAAAAGCACTTTCAACTCATTTCATCCCCCTTCCCTGCTATTTTTTACAGAAGTCAATGGGCCACTTACACTGTTCTGCATCTTGATTTTTTTCACTTACTATATCCTAGAGATGTGTTCAGATCGGTTCCTACAGAGTGGCCACATTTTTTTCATTAAGTGGCCTCAAACTCCATTGTATGAATGGATGAGTCTAGTCAACCAGGATCCTACTGATGGACACTTGGGCTTTCACTTGAGAGTTTACATACTGAATATCTTCTTGTCCAAGGTTACCTTTCATCTGTTGCTGGCAGAGGCCCCAGACCTTTGTTAGGTTGTCTTCTGGGAGAGGGTCTCCTGCCATTCCCTCAGGATTCAGAGATGAGAACAAAGAGAAAGCAAATGGACCTAGGCTGAGAACACCAGGTTCAAGTACCTGCTCTTTAGTGTCTTGTGATCTTGCCCATATTCAGTCCTTCTAAGCCTCAGACACTAATGAAGACCGTGCCTACCAGTTTCATTCCATGGGGCTATGGGGAGGCTCAAATGAAACCAAGTGTGTGAAAATACTCGGAAAATCATAAAATATACAAATGGATAGTGATACCACTCAGTAATGTTTATAAAATGAAAGGGGATTAGTGAGAGACTTAAGAAGAAATGAGACAAATTTGTGAAAAGCATGGTTTCCCCGAAATCAAGGTCATTCTCTAACACACTAGGGGGTACTATAACCTTTAAAATCCAGGTAAAGACCCATATCTCTAAAGTACTTAGGCAACAGCTACTTAGCTTGCCGATCCTATCTCCTGCTGGGCCCACACGAATTCCTAGAGGTCCTCAGCTACGCAGCAGTTGATGGCTCAGATAAGTGAGAGCTACACTCATTTAATTTAAAAGAGAAAATAATGTCAGACCAAAACTGCCCACTCTTCACGCAGTCACTGTAAGCTACTGGTTGACACTCTCTCCCTACAGCAGATTGAGTGAATTGACCCAGGCGTCATTCTACTTCATGGGGAATAGCTATCCCACACCAAACATCTTTCTCTGCCTCAGTTTTCCTTCTGCAAGCATGTTAGTATCTCACCTCCTGAAAGGAAACAGGAATACTTCACTAAAAATACAGAAAACTGGAACATTTTCCTTCTGGGATGGACTCACAATCCATGCAGCATCTATCTGCTAGGCTGTAATGGAATAAATCTGGATTTTGCCAGTCACCCACTGACTGACAATCGAGAGGAATAATGGTCTTCGCCAGATCTACTGACACTAGGTCTGTTGAAGGAATATGACCATAGAATATTGTCCCGGGGAACCAGCCAGCTTAGCGGTTACTACTGGCTATAGTATTGATACCTGGCTTAGCTGTCAATATCAAACAGGCTCAAGTATTTCTAAGCATGCTGTTAGTGCAGAAAGATATATATACATCAGGGGAAGAGAAAAAGGGTGACTACCAAAGCTAGCAGAAGTTTATCTCCATGGAAGAATCGGACAAGTGTCCGGAAAGACAGCAGAGGGTTCAGTAAAGGGATGTGGAAACCCTGAAACAGACATGAGGTCTTTGTTGTAAATAGCATCTCTCTGGGTGATGCTGTTTTTTGAGGCCCATCACTGAATACTCCACTTAATAATACATCTGTATCTGCCTTTGAACTGTAAATATGGTCCTGAAAAAACTGAGGAGAGCAAATCAATTTTTTACTTTTTATTTTTCTAAAAAAAAAAAAAGAATACATGTGCCGTCAAGCCATGCATAAAGTGAAAAAAATTTTTTTAAACTCTTGTCTCCAAAAGCAAAACCATTAATACTTTGTTATTCTTCAGGACATTTTCTAATATATACAAGCATATGTATATATTTTCCTTTCTAAACCCAAAAGAAACTCACCTCTTAGACAAATTGTCTCTATTTCAGGGAATATTATAAATGTATTATAAAGAGAACCAGATCAGCCTGGGCACTTGGAGAGACCTCGTCTCTACAATAAATAAAAAAATTAGCTGGGCATGGTGGCACGTGCCTGTAGTTCCAGCTACTTGGAAGGCTGAGGCTGAAGGATTACCTAAGCCTAGCAGGTTGAGGCTGTGGTGGCTGTGAGTGTGCCACTGTACTCTAGCCTGGGTGACAGCGAGACTCCAACTCAAAAAAAAAAAAACCCAAAAAGCAAGAGAATCATCACCTCCAAATTAAAGTTTTTCTTTGGATTTTTTATTGGATTCACACAAAGCAAATAATGTATCCACTTATTCCAAGAATATATTGTAATGTTCCATAAGTCATAACTTAACATACACTAGAACTCATGAAATTGTCTGGCCAGAAGTAACATTCTTCTGCTGGGAAAGATTTTACATTCTTTTCTTCTGGATGGATCCTGAATTCTAGATGTCAAGTTTAATTCTTCAAACAATGGTACATTTATAAGAGGTACAAAACACTTATTGAGCTTTCAGGGCAGTAAGGGGTTTGTAGAATAGCCTCTTTGCAACCCAGTGAGTAAATCTGATTCCCCTTTTCTCAGCCCACGCCTACCTCCAGCATCCATTTTAAAGGAGTGGTCTCCCTCAGAATCCTTACTCCCTCTGTCTACAGAATTAAGGAGATAAAAGAACTGGAGAGCTCAGTGTGGAAAAAAACGTGTAGCTAATCTGCTTGAGACAGACATGTTTAGAAAAGTTGAGGCTGAAATATTGTCTTGTGTCTATGTGACTCTTTGTAAACTTTAAAGAAAAGGTTCCTCAAGTTCACTTGGTTGTCTCCCTTTAGTGACCAAGAAGTACACTCTGGCACAGTACACGTCTTTCCCTGTGGGTCTTGACCTCCAGTCTTTTGGGTTTTTTTTTTTTTTTTAAATAACTTTGTTTAGTCCCGAGGACTCCAGAATCCAGGGCTTGTTGTATTAGAGAACACAACTTCATGTGACCAGGAGCTACGCCCACCATGCCAAAGCGGCCTTGCTGCTTTTCAAGCATTGGCAAGTTCAATGACAAAGGATTCTTGTGAAAGACAGTGGTTCGAGGGTGACTTTTGCCACTTAACATTTGGCAAAATGTTTTAAAAAGCTTAAAACTCAAACATTTCTGCTGGCTTCTCTTTCAGCTTCCTGACTTTTCGATAAGCCCTGATGGCCAGGACAGCTCCCAGGGCGAAGACTCCGATGCCCAGGGCAGCAAAAATTCCAGCTCCTATATCTCCCCCGTGGAAACTGCAACTGAAGCC